CCCCCCGCCGCCGCCGCCGCCGCCGCTTTCTTCGCCGGAGACTGAGGCGCCGGCGCTGGCAGAGGCGGATGTGGGTTTGTGAATCTGATCCATGCTCAAACATATATCAGTCGATGCCTGCGATGCACAGAACATATGGCTTTTCATTTTTTTTTAAATGGGTTTTACAGTGAGGAACAAAAAAAAATGAAAAACTTTGTGAAATCTGATCAATGGCAATGACTTTTAGTCTAAGCTTGTATATACATATATATACGCACCCTCGTACACGTACATGTATACGTATACATATACGCATCACACACACATATATGTGTGTAAAAATAGAGAGAGAATTGAGTGTAACGCTCGTTTGAATGAGCTCTTTGTCCATATATACAACAGTTGTTGAGATGTCATTGTAATTATTTATGTACATTTTCATCTCTCTCTCACACACACACATATATATATATATATATATATATATAAATATTGCATGTAATTGTTAATTTTTTTTTATGGGTTTAATTAATTGCATGCTCTCTGATGAAGATGTTGGGCGTGGAGGTTGCCACCTTCACGAGGGTTTGTTGTTTATTTATATGGTCGGACCACACAGACACCAACGGTCAAAACATGTAAATTCGGTTAGAGCTGGACAGAGCTCGTGCCGTATTTTATTTACTTATTTTGCTCTCTGTTTTGTTATTTATCTGCATAATTACACGAGCAATATTTACAATAATTTAATTAAAAAAAACTAATACTTATCCTAAATTAATCCAAAGACGTGAATAAACATCTTAACCATCAATTTCTCTACTCTATCCACAATTACCACCACGACCACATCTACCTACACGCAGATACATACATACATACATACATACATACATACATACATACATACATACATACATACATACATACATACATACATACATACATACATACATACATACATACATACATACATACATACATACATACATACATACATGTGTGTGTGTGTAATAAACACGCGAATACAACAAACGTTGAATCCTTCACGCGCAATAAAAATATAACCAATCAATGAAAAATTTGAAAACCTCTTATTCAAATCTACGGCCCAATAAAAAGCCCATTTTGAAAAAAAAATCAAAGCCCAATTAATACAAACGTGAACTTGAAGCTAGCTACCGAACAAAAACGCCAAAAAAACAAGGGAAAATTAAAAAAAAAACGCAGAAACAAAAAGCCATGAGGGAGAGAGAGTACCAAAAATAACAAACAAAAGAAGCAGAGCTCTTGAGGAGGAGACTATATACATATATATATATATATAGGAAGTAAACTGTAATATGGTCTGGTATCCTCTTTCATGGCCTGCCATGTCCTGTAGTGTTGTGTCCTGCCTTAAAGACCTTTTCCTTCGTCTTCGTTCAAGATTCGGTTGCGGAAATCGTTAACCATGAGAGGCAGACCGTCTCGAAGAGAGATCTTCGGCTCCCAATTCAGCAGCTCCTTTGCTTTTCCGATATCAGGTTTCCTCTTGTGAGGATCATCCGCTGTGTTGGGTTTGAATTCTATCGTTGCGCTCGGATCTATCACTTCCTTCACAACCTGCAATTCCAAAACCCACATCTTCTTTAGTCCTTAGGAAATTATGCAGAGATGGGTTTTTACAAAAGCTTTCAACTTTTGTCTGAGTGTTAAGTTAGTTCAAGCTCTCTGCCTCGTCGACGGGTGGAAAGAACCCGTGAAGGAATGCTAAAAACTGTGTTGCAAATACCGCGGAAAGAAGAAGGAAAACAAAAAAAGTTGCAAACTTTGTCACAATTTGCATTCTATACCACCAATGGATATGAGCAGGCATTGTCATATGAAGGGTTAATGTCTTTAACCCACTACCAAATTGGTATTTAAGGTATATTGGAACTTGTAAGTTTCATCTGTCTGAATTCACTGATGGGTTTGGAGTTCTGTTTAGGGTTAGAGCTCTTTTAGTAACATTTATGTCTGGACATTTTTTTCTCTTCCTTTGCGGGAAAATAACAAGAAGCAGGCGAAGAGTGAATCAAACCTCTGCAAGCTCGAGCATTGTGAACTCTCCAGGGTTACCGAGATTGAAAGGTCCAATGTGCTCGCCTTCCATTAGCGCCACAAGTCCCTCCACCTATATCATATTCCAAAGGGGGTTTAGGAATGAGATCTAACCACATCAAAGCAACCAAAAACAGTAATATAAATTGATGAGAGAGCAACTTTCAGAGCTAATTCTACCAAGTCAGAAACATATTGGAAGCTTCTTGTTTGCTTGCCGTCACCATAAACAGTCATTGGTTGTTTTCGGATGGCCTGCAGAGAGGAAGAGTATACATAGTTCCATTAAAACTGTTCATTTATGAAGCTTCATAGGCAAAAAGGATTGTTTGATCATGATAAACAACCTGAGCAACAAAGTTACTAACAACACGCCCATCATCGAGGCACATCCTTGGTCCATATGTGTTGAAGATGCGAGCAATTCTGACCTGAAAACCCGAATTTGTTAAGAGGGACCTCTCACATTATCATTAGTGGATGCAACTATATTGTTTGCCAACACTCTTTAACATTTTCCACTCGACAAGAAGAAGAAAGCCTGGAAAGAGGGTTTCACATTATCATCGGTGGATGCAACTATATTGTCTGCCGACATCCTAACATTCCCCACTCGACAAGAAGAAGAAAGCCCGGAAAGCTAACTCCACTATCAAATCTTAATAAGCTATAGCTACTCAATATTGGCATTTAACGGGGTATCAACTCGAATAACAGATAACAAATGCTGTGTAAAATCTGAGAATTTGTCTCAAGCAAGAATCTTGGGAACCGAGAGAGCAATGGCATAAGAGTATTTTACCTCAACGTCTGCACCTCGGTGATAATCCATTGTTAGAGTTTCAGCAGTGCGCTTTCCTTCATCGTAGCAACTCCTCTCGCCTACAGAAGATCTCAGCAATTTAGATAACAATGTCTCGTGAAATCAGGAACACAAATGGCTCTTGCTTCCTCAAACTCACCAATGGGATTCACATTTCCCCAATAAGTTTCCTTCTGGGGATGCTCAAGTGGATCGCCATAAACTTCACTCGTGCTGGTGAGCAGAAATCTGGCACCTACTCTCTTTGCAAGACCCAACATATTAAGAGTGCCCATCACATTTGTCTTGTAAATCCATTATTAAGGATCCCAAAAAGTACTCAGATCTCCACGAAGAGCCCATCATCCAAGTGCAAGCATTTCATCAGGAAATTGGACAATCAAATGTATGAGATTCAAACAAAATCTTGAGGACAACCCATTACTAAGCTAGATTCGGTAATGGTCCATGAGTTTCAAACCCGAATCAGAAACGGAAATGTAGCACAAACGATGCAGGCAATGTAATTGATCGAAAAAAAGGATATAATAGTCTTCACTGGATTGTATTTGTAATGAACAGGAGAGGCTGGGCAAGCTAAGTGGTAGATCTGATCCACCTCCAGAAGGATGGGCTCGACGACATCGTGACGGATAAGCTCGAACCTAGGGTTCGAGAACAAATGAACCAAATTCTCCTTCCTTCCCGTGAAGAAGTTATCAATCACGATCACTTCATCACCTCTCGCGATAAGCTTGTCAACGAGATGGCTCCCGACGAAGCCAGCTCCACCGGTGACCACGATCCTCAGCCTCCGCCGTCCGATTCCGACAGGAACCCGACCCGTCTTACCTCCACCGGGCATGAAACCCGTTCTGTAAGGAGAGGAGTCGACAACGACGTTGGAGATGGATCTGGGGATGAGGGAGTTCGACTCGGCGGTGCCTAAACGGGAGAGAGAAGGTTGGAGGATGAAGAAGGTGGATCCGATCAAGATCCCGACGAGGATGAAGAGAAGGCGCTGTTCGCGGAAGATGTAGTTGATGGATCTGGGAAGAGATCTGGGATGTTTGAGCGCTTTGGGAGAGTAAGGACTGGATTGGCTCGTCGGACTTCGTCTTCGTTCAAGATTCGGTTGCGGAAATCGTTAACCATGAGAGGCAGACCGTCTCGAAGAGAGATCTTCGGCTCCCAATTCAGCAGCTCCTTTGCTTTTCCGATATCAGGTTTCCTCTTGTGAGGATCATCCGCTGTGTTGGGTTTGAATTCTATCGTTGCGCTCGGATCTATCACTTCCTTCACAACCTGCAATTCCAAAATTGTGAAGCTGCTTCATCTTCTCCGTCGGAGAACTTCGCCTGAAAACGGGTGACTCAGTCGCGCCGGAGAAGACAGGATCCGTACAGATCACAGCTCAATACGAAGAAGAAGAAATATGCGTTCGTCTTCGACAAAAACAAAAGAAGAAGAAAAGCTGCTTAAAGGTCGTTAGGCGGTGAAGCCTTAATGCCGCAAAATGCATCCTTCCTTCTCTGTTTTTTTTTTAAAAAAAAAAATTCGATCATGGTCGGGTTGGGTGAGAATTTCGATTTTCGGTTTAGATTTGGTTTGGTTAATATTCGGATTTTGCTTTTTCGTTTTTGTGTTTTGTTACGGACTTATTTGGGTTATCCGAGTAAAAACTGCAATAATTTTATTTCTGATAATAATATTTATTTATCGAAGATATTTTTTATTTCTTTATTCGGTTAAATTTTTCGATTATAAACAAAAATCATAACCATTATTTAGTTTGAATCTGATTATATGTTATTTGGTTTAGATGGATTCCTGTATTTAGTTATCAACCAAATTGATTTATATTGATTTGAGTTTTATATTACATTCATTGTTTTATATTACATTCATTTTGAAAAAATTCAATTATTTTTATATTGGTTTTGAATTCGATTTTTACAAAAATTATAACCATTTTGGTTTTGTATCGAATTCAAATAGATATAATTTGGTATGGATCGGTTCGGTTATGTATAAACCGAACCAAATGTTCACCCCCCTATTTTTTTTTATCCCTATCCTTTTTCTTTTTTTTTTTATATCTTCACTTCGTCTTGTCGGAGATATCGTCTCCTCCCCTCAAGTTTATCATCCCATCACCAAATTCTTCTGAAACGACGAACAATTTTGGTGGATTCTCAGTTCAGATTCATCCATTAGAGTTGCGATGAGTGGTGAGAATGGCGGCAGCAGCAGCGGCATCATGTGGTTCTTCAGGGACAAAGGCTTCGACGATCAGAGCATCCAAAAAATGGTGAAGAAATGCAAGCAATTGCAGAATTCCCCCACCGACTTAGCCTCTGAGAACTGGTCCTACTTGAAAAGCATCGGCATTCACGAGCGAAAACTCCCTCATATCGTCTCTCGTTGCCCTAAAATCCTCACTTTCCGCCTCCATGAAAGGGTTCAGTGCCTCTCCACTCTCGGCTCGAACCCTCGCGACGTTGCTTCTGCAATCACCAAGTTCCCTAATGTCCTCTCCCATGGCGTCGAGGAGAGACTCTGCCCGCTTCTTGCCTTCTTCCAAGCCTTGGGAGTGCCCGAGAAGCAGCTCGGGAAGATGCTACTTTTGAACCCTAGACTCATCAGTTACAGCATCGACACCAAGCTTTCAGACATCGTGAGCTTTCTCTCGAGCCTTGGTCTTTCCAGAGATGGTGGGATGGTCGGGAAGGTTCTGATGAAGAACCCCTTTTTCATGGGTTATAGTGTTGAGAAAAGGCTGAGACCCACCATTGATTTCTTGCGTTCTGTGGTCGGTCTGAGGGAGGAAGGTATCCAGACAGTGGTGATGAACTTCCCAGAAGTCGTTTGCAGAGATTCTGACAAGATTCTCAGACCAAACTTCGAATATCTCAAGAGATGTGGATTTGGGGATGCAGACATTGTAACAATGGTGACTGGTTATCCTCCGATTCTGATCAAAAGCATCAAGAATTCGTTAGAGCCAAGGATCAGATTCCTGGTGGAGAAGATGGGGAGAGGGATGGAAGAAGTGGTTGATTATCCTGAATACTTCAGGCATGGATTGAAGAAGAGGGTGGAATCACGGTATAAGTTGCTCAAACAGAAGAACATTACTTGCAGCCTAAGCGAGATGCTGGACTGTAACACGAACAAGTTTCGTCAAAGGTTTGGCTTTTCGGAAGGAGTTGCTTAGTAAAATCCTTTCTAGCTTTGTTATATGATTTTTGCCTCTGCAAGGATTTTCTTCGGCAGCTCTGTGTGTGTAATCTTCATTAAGTTGGTTTAGAGAAAAAAAAAAAGGCATTGGTGATGAATGACATTAGTAAATCTCTCCATCTCCTTGGAATCTCCTTCCTGTTATTGATTCTCTTGTCAAATTCATTCGCCGGGGAGGTTCTTTCAGCTGTGGGGTTTGCCAAAGTTGCAAACTTTTGCCATCCATATACCAGAAAATGGGAATGGGAATGCTTCTTTCCTAATTAAAGCTTCAGTTGTATGCTTTGAAAATGTCAATAACGCTGCTGTTAGATGCTTTGTTGATTCTTCTCGCACAATGAAAAGGTGTTTGATCATATGGCTTCAGGTAGGTAGTAGTGTCATTGTGTTAAGAGACCCGAAGAGTGTAGGGTTGTAAGGTTTAGGGTTTAAGAGTGTAGGGTTGTAAGGTTTAGGGTTTAGAACTATCTCATACAGCCCGAGATCATGCTTTCTTTTACGCGATAGAGGAGGATAGATACTGGTAGTATTTGACACCGTCTATAAAGGAAGATTTGTGGGTACAGCTTATGCTGCTCTCTTTTTTTCCCGGGCTGGACCCTATTTTTGTTTTCATCGTTTAAACTAGGGATGGACGTTTCAATATTCGATACTTATTCGGTTATAAAAAAATTTGTGCAGTTCGGTCATTAAATAGGTGTTTCCATACACGGCTAGCTTCAGGTTACCCTCCCTGTCTCTATTACCATTGAGCCAAGATGGGGCTGATACAGGATGGTGCAAAGAGAGAGACTTGCTCTGGTGTGTATATATATACATATGTATGTATATGTCCCATACTAGAGAGACAGAAACAGTCAGAGATCTTCATCCTCAAACCCCCTCGCCTGCCTCTTATTAGGCCCGGATTCTTGTCTTTGACATACCCATCCATGATTTTATTCAAAGAATAAATCCAAGAGTACTAATATAGGGCGTAAAAAAGTTTTCCAAAAAAATTTACAAATAATATACAATCTTTTTTAAGTATAAAGGGAGAGACTTGTAATCTTTCATGATTTTTGAACCTTGTCATCAACATCATCATCATCCATACCTTTCAAAACCTCAACTTCTGCAATTTCGGAGCCATTTCAGGACCCAAGCTTGTGGCCAGTGCTTCTATGGCTCTTGAGATCAACTCTTTCTTTTGCCTCCCACCCGAATCGCTCCTCGATCCGCTTGGGTTTTCCGTCTCGTCTACCGACACAGATAACTTCCTCAACCACTCCTCGAGAAACCCGGCTCTCTGCGGGGGGAAACGGACAGAGAAGGTTTCAAAGAGTTCATCCAGTGAGCCTTTCAATACAACAAATGCCAAATTGCTGAATTTACCTTTACAAGGAAATCTATCAGAGCTTGGGAATGACAGCTTGGAAGCAGACTCAGGAGATGCAACATGGTTGATGTTAACTTTTTTTAACAAAGGATCAGCAACATTATTATAATGTAATCATTCATCAGTGACTAACCCAAAAGATTTAGCCCATTATTAAATCTTACTTTTCTATTCATAGAGAGAGTCTTACCTGTTTCTCAAGGGCTGTCTTGTACTTGAGATTTTCCAATCTTGAATCTTTGTCTGAACTCAACGACTCAAGAGCATGCTCTACACCTTTGACAACATCTACGAAGGACCATCCATAATCTACAATAATCACATTACAGTTAACACAACTCCCAAAAAAAACCCTTTAACACCATGAAAATCAAGGATGGCCTCTGTAGAAAAAATGTTGACAGAGCATCATAATCTTGACTGGGATTTCAAGAAGTGCCCGCATTTCAGTACCAACAATTATATGAGATGAGAACAGGGTTGGTCATGAAGAGAACCCGAAAATTAGCTTCAGGTAATTGGGTCGAGGAGTATTACCAGCAGATACACTGGATATAGTACAATTACCTTTTTGCCCCTAGATTTTAAATAGATAACACACAAACCTAGGGTTCTGAACAGAATTCTCTTTAACTTTTGGGTTCGGGTAATTCAAAAATCTCTGGTATCTGATCTGAGCTAGTCCTTAGTATATGGTACATATTTTGAAAAACAAAATCGAAATTTCGTATTTGGACCTCATATTCGGGTACCCAAAACCAAAACAAGTGTGTGTGCGGAGAGAATCAAACTCACCAAGTGGGGCAGCCGGAACGGCAAGTGCAGCAGCAGCTTGTATTCTTATCTTAAAGTTCGATGCATCACGGAGCAGAAGTAGCAAAATACTAAACACAGTGGGAGACCTTCAAAAAAGAAAAGAAAAAAAAAAGAAAGAAAAAAAGCCTTCAGAAACTTCAATGACCTCTTAGACAAGAAACTTCTTTGAGTATATACAGAGCCAAAAAGAAGGAACATTTACCAATCCATTTCTTGAAGTTCTATCGTCTTATTGGAGAATAGATTGCTTAAAGCATGGCAGACATTCCACTGAACCTGTAAAAAGATCCAACACAACAGTATAAATACACTAGAAAAGGTTGTAGTAAACAAAACACTTTCTGGTTTTAGTTGTAGTTATTTCAGAGGTATACCTTAACATTCCCAGTTGTTACACAAGAAAGAAACGCTTGCACAGTTCTCTCCAGCCAACTCGAATCCCTTGCGCATGCATTTGATGCTTCTGGGTCCACCGATTTTACACGCGCAAATTTAACATATCTCGACAGACTCCCGAGGGCCCGAACTGCATTTGCTTTCACCTGAGAACACGAAAACGATGAAGAGTGTGAATGTGTACACGTAACTGAGGCACTAGAACTGCTACAAAGTTACCATGAAGAAGAAGATCAACAAACAATCACACTACTTTCTGTGAGCCTATGGAACATTTGTGCATCTGACTAGGGGAAGGCACAAGTCGGGTACCCAAGATTTTTGGATTACCCGAATTTGAACCGGAAGTCTCGGGTCTCATGAGATATTACCCGACCTTGGATCCATTTTGATCGGGAACCCAAGATAAATTTTGGGTACCACATATCTGAACCTGAGTTTCATAACGATTTTTCAAAATATATATCATATATTACGGATTAATACCAATAATTGGATAAAAAGAATCACTAAATAAGAGTAATCAGTTTATCCGAGATTAACAAGGTGCCAATGTTGATACATTACCTTGTCCCCGTCTTCTGTAAGGCGCAAAGCACATTCTATTAGCATGTCAAGGTATTGTATACTTTTATTTGACCCTATTAACAGGAAAAAAAAAATAGATTTAGTAGTTACATTTGAAAGCCAAGATTACAAGGTTAACGTCAATACCTTGAAAGGATTCATCACTGACACAGTAACGAAGAGAATCACATATATTTGCCAATGCCCAGGATGATGTTATACGAACCTGAATTGAGAAAAAGAGTACACAATAGTTAGAAAATCGAAATTAAAGTGCCATTATTCGAGACGAGAAGCAACTGAAAGTAGTCAGTAAGGGATATACCGAGATCAAGGGATCACGAGTGTTTGCTTCAACAGCTAAGATAAAGTTTTCATGGAACTCTGCACTGAATGATTAAGATTTCATTAACTTTTTTGCCAAGATTCTTTATAGGACTGGTTAGGGCATGCAATACATGATTCAGTCACCTTCCGGAAGCTTCCTGGAAACATGAAATTACGCCAATTGCTCGACAAGCTGCTGATCTCACTGAAGGTGCCTTGTCATGCAAAGCAGCGGTTATCTACGAAGATTAAAAGAGGTTATTTCACATATTATGAAATTAAAACTCAGATACTGAAACCAGAATCATGATACGATTCCCAATACTTACGATAGATGAAGTGATGAAGTCTTTTTCATGTGTTTTGAGAGAGACAAAAACTGAGGAAGTGATCCCAGCAAAGCAAGTAACTGAAGCTCCTCTCACCTTCCAAGTATAAGAAGAACACCAACATCGCCTTAATCCCAAGTTTAATCACATATATCATGCATATAATAACTAGACGATTGCTTCCTAGAATTGATTGTATGTTAAATTATGGTGAAAGCAATACCAATTATAAGAAAAGCTGTAAACATAATATAACCAGGAATTTCAACTAAGTCATGGGGGGGTCATTTAACATGTTTGTTCCCAAAATAGATATTGTTACGTATAATAATTTCCATCACAGTATAGTTAAACACCAACAGAGTATTGGTGTAAAAATCAATTTTTCAAGCACGCAAAGAATATGCAGGATCAAATATGAGAATCAAGTAAAGATGAAAACTTGCCAAGAGTCTTAACTAACCATTGCAGAATCATGGTGAAGCACCAGAGGTATATGCTTCGAAATTGCCTCAGACCAGTGGTCAGATCCTGCCTGAAAATTTGACTCTTGAGCATATTCAGGATTCACGAATCCATAAGATGGTGCTGATGAGACTTTTTTTGACCTTATGCAGTCAGATGTAAATGGTGTATCCGATAGTCTATCCTCCAAGAGATCCTCTGTGCCCTTAAATCCAGATATTGCTCGAAGACATTCGTCCAATACCTGCATCCATTCCTGTGTAAGTTATTACCGTTTACTTAGACCAAAAGACATTATGAAACTGCATTGTCAGTTTCTTTCTAAAGTTAGACTAATCAGAAGCATATCTGAACTAACTACCCATCAGCAATCAAAGCCTATGGCAAACACAGCACAACTGATGAAAATGTGAAGATAAATGTCAATGTAAAATAGAATAGAGCTCTTGGACAATCGTGCCTTAATAGCCATTGCAATGACTTTATCTCCAATTTGTCTAACAGAATCCCTAACAGGAGCCTTCTGAGCTGGAGAAACTTCCATAATAGCAGAGTCCAACAGTTTATACACAAGGGCCGAGACACATTCCCAGCATGCTGAAACTAAGGTTGGGTAATTGTGTGCGATAGCTCGGAGGACCTGAAAGACACCGTTTATTTGGATGAGAGCATGGAATATGCAAGACAGTAGCTCTCAACAAATAAAAAGCCCTCCAAATAATTGTATTCAATCATCAGTCCGGCATAGCCTAAAGTTTCTAAATTTAAAAAAAATATGGTCAAGAACAGTCTTTTGTAACCAGATTCCAAGTCACACTGTCACAGTAAAATATTATCTAGTATAACACAGAAAAATGCTCTGTTTTGTTTTTCAATCCCAGTCTGAGACAACTCCAAATATCACTTTGGGTTTACCCTGAGGCCTGTATCCTTTTATTTGCGAAAAAACTCCCGAGACGGAAAAATTATCATACCTGAAGCGCCTCAACACAAGTTGGTGTATTAGAAAATTGCTTGGCAAACTGAAATAAAGTGAACAGAACTCCAGACTTCCCTTCGACCTCGACCAATCCTGAATAGAGTTTAGGAAAGAATGGTATGTCAAATATAATAAGAAGATAGACAGGACAAATTATGATTATAACAGCCTTTAAAATGCAATATCGGGTACTTGAAACTTTAACAAAGAAGGCCAACCTGCTGATATCTCATCCAAAAGCATATCACGTACTTTCGTTTGAGGAGGGGAGGTGGAGAAAGCAGCTGTCAGGCAGCTTATTGCAGAAACCTAGAAAAATTCAGATCATATTTCAGGCTGGACATTCACGGAATCTAATCTCCTCCGGTTCCATGAAACAGAACTGAGGCAACAGGCAGACAGACAAAGCAACTTAACGAAAGGGAAGCACTAACCAGCAGACCAGTTTGATCATTTTTTAAAGGAAAACCTTCTTTAATCCTTGCATGCAGAGATATTATAACTTTTAGCAACAAGTCTCCCGGCATTCTTGAGTAACTGGCAATAATGATTAACATTAAAAGGATATAAATATCTCATAAGAGGGTCCAAACACATCAAGAGTATTGAAGATATTTAATCATTGATAACACCATAGAATCCAAATCAAGACCATTAACACTAAGAAAAGGAATGACTTTATAAAGCAACCACACAAATTATAGACGAAATATACGTACGGTGTGTTTGATATCAAAAGCAAAAGAATCTTGAACAAGGATGTCAGCAATCTACCATGATTATCACAATGGATCAAATGTAGAATACCTACAACCATAAAGAGCGTATAAAACCGCAAGTCAGAATGATAGCAAAATATCATGAGAACTACATGGGGGAAACAATAACTAATATCAAAACCAAGTGGCAAAAGGAAGAGACATGTATACTAAGCACCTGTATGGAGTTGCATTAGTATTAAACCAAGAGAATTTGAGAGGGGCATAAAAGATCCATATTTCATTGATTCCTTGTACTCTGCCACTTGAAGGAAAATAGATGAAGGGCCATCCATCATTGCGGCAATAGCTGAGGCAGATGCTATCCTTACCTAGACACAACACAAAAGCCATTACCAGGATTCATCAGTCATGAAGTTGAGCAAAAGAAGCACATAGTCCCCACATATATTTGCCTAACTACAGAAATATAAATAGCAAATCATAGATGGACAAGAACAGTCACCTTCAAATGAGGATCAAAAAGTAAGCATGTCATCAGAGTAGCTTCAAACTTTCTGCCACCGTTGTTTTAAACAAGTTAAGGACGGGAGAATTATCACGACAAATTGACAGAAATTGCTACAGTTCAATTTACCACCTTGGCTTGAGTACATCACTGGTCGGCAAAAGAGACATCCATTGGGTGGTAAATGACTTTGGATCAGCACGACAAAGATTCTAAACAAGAGGGCAAACAGTCAAATAAGAATTATGTCACTAAAAGTCAGCAGG